TATAATTTGCCACCTTTTCACATATCTTCTCCTGTACAGTGAATGGTACTTATTATTTTTAGGTGTTCGATGGTGTAATGAAAACTTACGAAGAATCCGAGGATTATAATCCATCCGAGTGGGAACGATACAGCGTAATTCGTATGGCGTATTTTACGTATCAGTGGGGAATCCAGGCATGTGAAGCAGAGATAAAAACTAAGGCAGCGAAAGAGCTTTTGGAAATGGTTAAGACTGTCAAATTTGACGTTATAGTACAGGACATTACTTTACATCAATGTTTCTACGGTTTGTGGGAGGTAAAGATAATGCAATCTTTACAGGTGAAATTACAAGCAGAAAAAAGTCATACTGACATCAAAATTCTATTAGTTACGATTTATTTTATTGTGACTAGTTGTTCTGCTTTGGATATAATTGTTTAATCCATTTTTATATTGTAGCAATTGAAGCAATTGAAGTTGCTTTATAAATCAAGTTGTGTTTGCGTAGAAAACTAGCGTCTAGTTATCGTTCATATAAGTGATAACACAACTCGGGTGCGCGATATCCGAGAGAGAACGATCCTTATTGATTGATTTTCTTACTTAGTTGATTCGATGTACAGCTGATGCACTATTTATTGAGCAGATTCTCACATTACAGAACATAAAATGTATTTTTGAAACAATCAAAATCTGAATTTGTATAATAAGATTTGTATAATAAGATTTTAACATTTTTTAATGGTATTTCTATGTTTTTGACCAAACTTTTAGATAATTCTGCTTTAAATAACAATCGGAAATTTCCATACGGAGATCCATACGGAGATTTTTTGAATATTACTGAATTACGCAATCAGCTCAATTTTTTATGTTTATTTATATGAACATATATGTATATCATTTCCATATTATCTACTAATAAAAGTTACAGCAAATTTTTACATAGTAATGCTTGATTTACATCCTTTTGTCTATTTATTCTAAGGTGATAGTTATTTAGTTTTAGTTTTTCCTATTGTCTTTCTATAGATATTGTTTTCCAGATTGCTAAAGGTAAGCCACCTATAGTGGGATACATTCCGTTTGGCCCTGCACCTTGGCTCAAAGATTTCATCGGTGGTCCAAGTTATCCAACTGTTCGACCTTACACGCATGCAGCAATTGCGAAACCCGTAGGTTTGTGGTTAAGAACATGGAACGCTCTATATTACATTGTGGATAATCTCATACGACATTATTATTTCTTACCTATTGCTCAACGGCTCGCTGAGGAATACGTAGGCCAAGCAATCAGGCCATTACGTGAAATAGAAAAGGACAGTATTAATATCGTACTAATCAATAGTCATCCTGCGTTCGAATCTGGGATTCCATTGCCGCCGAATACCCTCGAGATTGCAGGACTAAATGCCCAAGCCGTGAAACCGATTGCTGGCGAGGTAGTCGTGACATATCCCAAGGTAAGAAAAATTCTCTTGAGGAAAGATATTATTGGATTAGTGGAGAAACTACTATATGAATAGTATATAGTATATATACAATATTGGATTCGAATAATTTCCCTATTACTTTCAATTGTTTGTCGCGAATATATTTCGTAGTATGTTCTATAAAGTCGTTTTCTTTTATTAAGAATTAGTAATAATTACAGTAAGAATATTAGTAAAAAAATTATACACATTGAGAAAATGGAAATTTAATAAAATCTCAATTGAATTATTGTTCATAACTATCCAAATTAGACTTTTGAAATAACAAGAAGATTTTTCTATTCCTTCTTGCACAAATTTTTACGTTCTATTAAAAATTAATATTGTGACAAGAAATACTGTTTAATTTATCGAGATTTTGGATCTTAATTGTAGATCAAGAAAAATCTTGTCAATTTCTTATGCAGGTTCGGATTTATAATTTTAGTATCTATTTTTTACAAAATGTACATATATATATACAACCAATTCTAATATGTAAAAAACATATTTTAAATGTGCTAAGTTTTTTAAAATGTTTATAATCAAGTAAATAACAATTTGATAATGTGAAATTGCTATTTACTCAATACTTTGAATATTTAATAATTAATTACTGTCATAATTAAACAGAAAATAAATTTTAAAACACAATATCACGCATATTGTAAATTTTATAACAAAATTTGACAAAGTCTAAAAATTTAGATACTAGAAATATTTCCTAAAATAGTTTTCTATTTATAACGATGATCGATAAAAAAAATGTCGCGTACGAATCTTATTTAAATAAATTTAATATTACAATTTTTTGCATGCTTACATAATGAAATTGAAAATGTATCGGTTACTTATACTAGCTGTTTTGGTATTAAAATACATATCTTTGTATATTTTTATAATGTTTTGTTATTATAATGTTAGTATCTTTATAAATTATGGTAATGTTTTTTATTATTTCGCAGAATGTGCGCGAATTTCTTGATGGAGCAAAGAATGGCGCTGTCGTAATATCCTTGGGAACAAATGTGAAATGGAAATCTATCGGATTAGACAAGATTAAGACCGTTATATTAGCTCTGTCGAAATTGAAGCAACGAGTATTGTGGAAGCTTGATATTGAAGTGCCTTTTCCAATATCGGACAATCTAATGATTGTGAAATGGATGCAACAAAGTGAAGTTCTATGTATGCTACTCGATTCCTATAAAAATCTAGCCCGTTTTTAATTTAAAAACGACTTACAGGTGGTATAAATATTGATTGAAAAGTGTATTATATTAATTTAATTGGGACATTTATAACTAGTAAAATATTTTATTTTTAATGTAAGTTTTTTATCATTATAATTGAGAATTAAAATTGATTATAATACACTTCTCAACAAAATTGAAGCATCTTTACCCTCTTACTCTACCCTCCAAAAATAGGCAAAATTCAAGAGAGTGTAACTTCGTCAAAAATAATCGTATCGAGATGTTCAAAAAAGCATTTTACAGCTTGAAATCTCTACTTTTCAAATCGGTATTTTAGAAAACGATCCTACTGATTTTTCATGGAATTACATCTGTCTCTTATACACATCT